CAAAGGCCAAATATAACCCTCAGTATAAAGGAAGCTGTGCACTGCTGACATAAGCAAAATAATTTCGCTGGGAGAGGAGCAATAAACTTGCTCCACTGCTGCATAATGGGGTGTGGGGTGTGTATGGAGAGGTCCGCCTCCTCCTGAATGTGTTATCCTGTGCTTTGGAAAGTCTTTCAGGCCTTTGTACCATGCTTTAAAGATGCACATGGAGGAGGCAATGGGGAAGAGTGTGAACTAAACATCATCCCACTGTGCAGAGCTTAATTCATGCAACATTGGTGTCTGCTCATTAGTGCTTGTTTTATCAACAGTAACATACTGGCATTTTTGAAATTTCAAATCCCAGCCATTTTTTTAATAGCACACGAGCTGGTGACTTCATGATTGGCAATGTACTGCTGCTTTATACTACAGGAATCCCAATATATATATATATTAAAATACCTTTTGAAAAGTAGCAATTTTTTTCAAAACAGTGCTTTTTTATTTTTAGAATTCTGGGAATCAGAGGAATATTGTAAGAGATGTGAACTTCTTATGTGAACTTCTTGATTTATTTAATAGTAGATGTATCTTTAAGGCCATGTGCACCATTCTTCATGCGCTCAAATCTCTTGGCTAGTACTGTATGAATCATCCAGAGAGTATGTGGTAGGTTCAACAGCTGTACACCAATGTAGATACTGGAAAATCTTTAGCCACTCAAATTCTGCTGTATGGCTACTTGATGATACATGGGAGGCAAAAAACCCAGTTTTGGGGCACTTCCACCATTTGTCCCCCAATTCCTTCATGTTTCATGAAGCTTGTTGTGCTTCATCTTCACTGCTGCAGCCTTTAGAACACTAAAGTGAAGCTCTGCTTCCATCTGACCTGTAAAGATAACAACTTTCTCAAGTCAAGCTTGACACATCCATGTAGTTTTCATGCCAACAATGCAGAAGTAGTATGCCGCTGCCTTTTTCCTGGATGTTGGGAATTCCTGGTGTTTCCCATCCAGATTCAACTTTTTATAAATAACTCAAGTCAGTGTGAATGTACCTAATATATCTTCTTCTTCCGATCTTTCCCACATTTTTAAATTTTAATTTTAATTTAATTTAAGCAACACAACATTGCTTAGATTTTCAAGATCATCTGAGGTTGACCAGATGCTACCGTTGGTATAAATAACTGACCAATAGGAGAGTGGACCCCCCTCCCCTCCCCCCCAAAAAATCAATTGGCATTTATTTATTTATTTATCAAATGTAGAAACAGCCCATCTCCCTCAGGGCGAAACTCATTCCATCCTTTGTCGATTCTGGAGCAACAAACATTTTCTCACTTCCTACAGAAAATAAATAAAGTGGCTGGCTCCTACTATACAAGAACATACTGGTTACATGTATTTGGCCATTTGCAAAATGAACCCCAAAACCAAACAATAGCTTTAAAAAGAGAGGTGCAAAGTCACCCAGCTATTCCTCCTCTACCACTTAAAAGTCCATTGCTAATTGTGACAATGATAGAACAAAAGCCACAGTAGTATGGCATTAAAAAATAATTCCCACTCTCCAACATTTGCAAACTGTACTTTCCAACAGATAGTACGAATAGGATACTAAAGTTGGCTGATGGGGCTGTGAGGGAGAACCCTGGCACAGCAAAAGACCTCCACAAAAGGGGGTGGGGGATTGCTAGTGTGTGAATGTGCACTCATGCAGCACAAGACAGTTTAAAAAAATCCTACACTTCAAGCAGAAGCCTAGAGATACTTTGTGGAAGGAACACAATTTTCCTCTGCTCTCTTCAATCAGCTGACTGCTGTTCTGACAAAATACCAAAAGAATCTGCTAACAGAAAAACTCAAGTAAGACAGTGTGTTTTAAAGTACAGTAGAATGAAACAGAATTGGGTATATTTACTTCCTTCTACTGTATATAAAAAAACAAAACTGAAGGGAGATGAAGCCCGCAAATCCTCTCTTCTTTCATGGATCTGATGAACACACAAACAGTGTTCATCAGATCCTTGAACACACTTGCTGAGAGACAACTCTGGCCCATGGTGAAACAAACACATACACTCTCTAATGAGGTTCTCCAATGAAAATGGAAATATAACATTTCAAAGATTGCAATGCGCTAGTTATGCTAAAAAGTGAGCATAGGTGATTCATTAAGAATACTTAGGAATGATATAGAAGTCCCATATGAAGTCGCCAACTTTGCAGCTCTGACCAGTAGTATACTCTGGCTTTATTATGTGGTAGGTATAATATTTATCCCATTGATCTCAATGTCTCAGAAGTTCCCAGGAAACAGAGCAAGCTCTACATGTTGCTATGATAGGGAGTGATCATTTAAGGGTCCTTGTGTTTTGCCATTCAGGGCAATTTTCTCAACCTCAACCATTTTAGAAATCCTCAGCTGGATTTAGGATACTGATATGAAAATCTCCCCAAAGTATTCAGGAATCTTTCAAAATCTGCAAATGTCAAGGAACAATCCCCACCTCACAACAACAGTTTGATTATGTGAGATAAAAATTCACTAAATATTGGCCTGGCCATGACAATGAGCAAATATCATGGATGGAAACTGATCAAGGAAAGATTTAACCTAGAAATGAGGAGGAACTTTCTGACAGTGAGAACAGTCAACCAATGGAACAGCTTCCCATTGGAGGTTGTGGGAACTTCATCACTTGAGACTTTCAAGAAAAGATTGGACTGTGTTTTGTCAGAAATGGTATAGGGTCTCCTGCTTGAGCAGTGGGGTTGGACTAGATGACCCATAAGATCCCTTCCAACTCTGTTAATCACTTCCATCGTAACCAGACTATCCCTTTCATGTCCCAAGACAAAGACTAAAACAAAACCATGACTTACTCTAAATGTTGGATAATGTCAAATTGAGAGTTTTATAATCATCTCATCCAAAGCTTGCCCACCTGTAACGGCCTCAACATGAATACTAAAATTTTCCAAGAGCAATCATCCTGACATTCTCCAATGCCATCCTAGAAATCATCTTAGGTGAGAAAGTTGCAAAGCAGGAAGGTGGCTATGCAGCAATCTCCAAAACTAATTTATTGGCACAAAACCCGGTAAAGGCCCTCAAAGCTTGCATCACCTGGAGTTTCATCTAAGTAGGATAATAAAAACAAACAAACTGGGCCCTTGAAAAAAAACTGACCTTCCATTTTGTGATGAATCATCAATAGGGGGATGAGGGTCAAAATGCTGCTGACCGGCCAAATGAGGATGAAGGAGAAATAGACCACAAGAAAACAAAACATGATAAAAAGACAAACAGACACAGGAAAAAAATTAAATCCAGAGATATCAAAGAGAAACACTGTGCTTATCTGTTTCTTTGTTAAATACAAACCTTTGTGCCAAGATGGGGGGAGTTGAAAAGTAAAAAAAATAAAAATACAGAATAACAAATATCTTGTGAAACAGAACCAAGATAATCATGTAAATGCAAATTTATTAAATAGAACAGGGGAAGGAATACATAAGCAGGCTGTGTGTGTGTGTGTGTGTGCTATAGAAAACATAATTTCAACGAAGTCAAAAACCTCAAAAAGTTCTTCCCTATAATGGTTGTGGATGAAAATGCAAGGATGCAAAATTGATTTTGCCCTGGGGCATGCTATTTTTCTCTGCAAGATGAGATGCAAAATACAATCAGGGAAACAGGAGAAAATATTAAAGTAAGGATAGATTATTAACTGAATTTACTAGAGATGACCGCAAACTAATCCTAAAAATGCACGGTTTCTCTGAACTAATTGGAAACAGTAAACACAATGGCTTCATATTTATATGTAACCAGAAAATTGCCAAGGCAATCAGTTGGGCACTAAAAGAAACGTCTAAATAACAGATTGGTAAAATGGAAGTTGAAACAGAAACTTGAGGGGTCAATTCTCTAATGTTCATGGTTATTCAAAGCTAGATATAGAACAGCCCATTGACAATATGTAGTATATTAAACTGCAAGAAACATCCCACCAAACCCAAGAGGTCACCAGTAGTTAAGAAAATACCAAATTAACTATTAGATAAGTAAGGTTTCTTTCAGAAAAAGTTTCCAAATAAGGGGGGAAAAATGTAAACTTGCACAACTATGCCAAACTTCAAAATGAAAATCTAATTGGACGGAAATCCAAAGCTATCTTTAAAGAGCTTCCATCAAAAACAACTTAAATTCACTTCAGACTACACATACAGACAATTATTAGTGTCTGCTGTGTATTCTGCTCGGCTGTTTTTCCCTGAGTGCGGCCTAAGTTTTCCTAGTCGCATTACTGGCTGGAAAATCAGACGCTGGATTACTTAGTACACTAAAAAAAAAGAAAAGCGGGTTCTGGGAGATAAAGCGCAACAGCATTTATGACAGCTTTTATGTTTTAATCAACTAATGGGAGGAAGAGGAAGCACGCGCATCAGCCACAAGGTTAAGGCTTGTTTGTTTTGCATGCATTCAAGAGGCAGCTGACAGCAACCGCGGGACGGGCGGGAGAGCATCTGCGCTGGAGTTTCCCCCTCCCGTTTGAAAAAAAAAAAAAAAGCATCGCTGCGGCCACGCAACAAAAGCGCTTCCAATTGAGAACTCGGAGGGATCGCTCCATTCCGCTTCCCCTCGCCGTCCCACGTGATTCGGGCAAAAGCGCTCAACCTCCTCCTCCTCCTCCTTCGCTTCAGTTTACAGGCAGGGCGGAAAGTGACTACGTGCCACTCCCCACGTGGAAACAGTCCCCCCCCCCCCACAGAACAGCCAGAGATGCAGGTTGGGGCTTATGTCAAGGGCGGCGGCCCAACGAGGGAAAAGCGGCGTCCAATCAGAGAACCCAGCGACCGGGCCGCCTATCCAATCGCAACGCTTGAAAGGAGGAGTTGGGATGCGAGCTTGACCAATCCGAAACCAAACCGGGAAGAGTTGGCGCTGGAGGCCAAGAGACGAGGATGGGAAGGAGGAGACCCAAGGGAGGGCGGCGCGGGGGAGAGAGAGAGACAGCCAATCACGAAAGAAGAGCCGCTGGCAAAGAAGCTGAGAGGAACCCAACCTTATCACTAAGGGCGGGAGCACGCTCAGTGGCTAAAATAGCATCCAGCTGCAAAAGCGCGCGCTCGAGCTGCTAAGGCAATAGGAAAGGCACCTCCCTCGCCCTCCCGCTGTGAAGGGGCGGGGCTTGCTATTTTCGCCGCGGGGCGGAGGAGCGTCCCTTCCCCCCCCCCCCAGCTTGAGAGAGGCGGTCGGTCGGGATTCCGCCTCTCCTCCTCCCCACCCCCCGCTCGCGCACGCCCAGTCATAAAAAGCCCCAGCCGTGAGGCGCTTCTACCGCCGTTGGGTACACATTTATCATGTTTGACAGCCGAGTTCGTAGGCTTGTTTACTTCGAAGCGATCTGGCGGCCTAATCTTCCATTTCCAGCCGTGCGCACGTGTAAAGCTTGTCCCAGACTAGAAACCTTCAGACGAATCCTTCAATATTTGGGGCATGTGGGTCATGTAGTGTCGTCGTCAGCGGGACAGAGAAGAAAATACCAAGTCTAAATTTAAAAAAAAAAATGGCAGACCTTTTAAGATGGTGCGTGTTTAAAAGAGTAACTGGTTGTGCCCGAAAAAACCCCAAAATCCCACAACTTTTCGAGGAACAGGACGCTTTTCGGTGCCGAGCAATGAATTTCTGAGGGCAGTTGTAGCCTTCCTGAATTGCCACCCCGAGCATCCTTATCCCTGCTGTCCGGAATACTGGAAATTCTTCGACATCTGGAAAGGGGCCGACTTTGCCCGGGTATCAATTGGCAGGCTCTGCATGCTGATGGTGGGGCCCGGGTAAAGACCCATGTTGGGAAGGAACTGAAGTCAGTGGTGAGTGGGGCCACCTCCTTCAGACACTGAACTTGTCTTTCTCATTTCCCACTCTCTCTTCAGTGGTTTGCTTTTTACCATGTGAAGTCCCAGAACTTCGGTTTCGTACTCCTAGGTAAGGAATGAACAGAAGACCATAATAGGATCCACAAGGCTCTTTTTTATTTATTTATTTTTTGCTGCCACAAAGTCTCTTGTCACTGGAAGTCGCTATTACAAACCAAGTTTCCCTCCACTGGGAAAATTGCTGTTTATAACAACGCATCCATCTTTTTTGTTTGTTTGTTTGTTGTTGCCAGGGATGCTGGAAATAACTAATCTTCCTCCTTCCTCCTGGTTCTATCTTTGACGGTGTGCATGTGCCCTTGCAACATTTTTTTTTTTTGCTGGCTCCCCAAACTGCCTTCATCTCATTCCCAGCCTATGAATACTGTAAGACAAGCTTAAGCCATTATTAGCTGTACTGGTGTTACGAGTAGTGTTTTTTTCCCCTCTTGCAGAATGTGCAAGGGCAGCCTCAAAAATATGTAAAGCTTTTAGGCTCCCACCCCTCCCTTTTACTTGAAGTCAGATGACTGGGAACAGAACAGAGAGAGGCATAGGAATAGGGACGGCAAATGTTATGCTAGTATTCTGTTGCTTTTTGCCAACTTAGTTTGAAGGAGAAATGGGTAGCACTTTCAAGTCAGCAATGATTAAATAGGACCTCCAGGCTATGATTTGCACAGCCCTTTTCCACTGTATTTGCATTGCCAGCCATTAGCCAATTAAATAAAGGCAGTGCATCACTACACCAAGACATTTGTCTATCCCCACAGCAGAGGCAGACTGAGTTCCACCAAGGAACAGCTCAATGACTGGTAGAGGGCAACTAATTCAGATACCAAAATATTTGGTATATTGTAGAGTTCGAACCTGGAGGTCATCTAGTCCCAATTTCCTGCTCAGGGCAGGAACCCTCATCCGAGAAAAAATGATTGTCCACACCTTTCAACATCCTGGAATGAACAGCTGAACTAAAGCCTGTGATGAGGAACTGGTGTTTAAAAAAGAAACACAGAGCAGAGAGGGATGGTTGTAAAAGTTTATATGGGTACCCTTCCAGAAACCTCACAAGGGGCAATTGATCTAGTGTGTCTTCTAGTGGAACTATTTTTGTTGCTATTTGCCATGTAATGTCTACCTTTTTTTCTTCTTAATGTTTTCCCACAGGTGCAGGGTTCAAGTCTTGATCCATTGGTTGCAACAGAAATTGACCAACTGGCTTAAGGCAGAGAGATTGATTGGCTCAAAGTTACACAGCTGGCTTTCATACTTAAGACAGGACCAGAACTCGGTCTATAGTTTCTAGCCTGGTGCCTTAACCACTGGACCAAACTGGTTCTCCTGTAATGTCTACTTGTATACCTCAAAAATCACCAACTTACTCTAATATATCAACTGGAGTTCTCGTCCTGCTTTTCTAACCAAGATGTTTACCACTGAAAATCCCAGAAACAAAACCTGACATTGTCTGCATATAATGGGTATGCAGACCTGCTGAAAGCTGTGGATCCTCCCAACTCATTTTCTAATTTCCAAAGCAAAAGCAGTTTGTGGCTACCTCTGGGCTAAGGATCAACACATTCTGTAGGTCAATGGCCAACTTTCCTTCGCACTTTTCATCAAGGGGAAAAAAAAGATCATTTGCCAAAATTCTGTGCTCTTCTAACAAAATGAGCACGGGCAACACAGCTGAGACTTGTATTTAACCAGTTATAAAATATTGAATGCTGCCACTAAGCATTTAAGTATTACTAAAATCAGATTTTTGATATCTGCCTGTAAGTCACCTAGCAAATAAAGATTTTAATAATTACTGGTTCAATTACTGGAAATCCCTCACCATTAGCTTTTAAGCTGCTTTACTATGTTATTTCATTGGGGCTTCTTTATTATTAAAAAACTTATCTGACTTGAGAATTGTTTACAAAATAATCAACAAAATAAAAATAGAAATATTAACACATGTAAATTGCTCAGAAAGGCAATAAAACATATAAAAATGGATTTTAAAAAACAGCAGAAACAATAGCTCTTATTGATCTATTGTTTCTTTTATTTTTTAAAATCTAGTATAAAAAAGATTTTTACTTACAATACTTGACATGCTGTATACTTCATTTTAACTAATCTGGAAGACTGTTATCCCTCATAATTGGGATTCTTTTTTTTTTTATTATTGCAAAAGTTTTACAATTACATTTTCACCCCACTTTCCCCCCCCAACCCACCCCTCCCTCCCCACCCTAACCCCCCAAACCCCCCTAACCCTCCCCCTCTGACTTCCACAGAATATAATCCCATCAAAATCCCCCCCTTTTTTTTATAAAAACTTGAACCCCTCAAGCCCCCTATAATTTTTTTTTCTCTCTTCACAATTCATACATTTCTATTTCTATATAACTTTCAATGAAAAACAATTTGATACTTCCTAACTTGGTATTTTTTTTGCACATAATCTATCCATTTTTTCCATTCCCATTCATAAGTCTCTTGTGAGCGATCTTTTAAATATGCTGAAATCTTCGCCATCTCCGCAAAACTGGCCATCTTGAAAGTCCATTCTTCAATAGTGGGTAAAGCTTCATTTTTCCAATATTTACCTATCAATAATCTCGCTGCTGTTATCATGTACAATATCAACTTAGTTTCATCCAATGTAAAACCCTTTACTATACCCAATAAAAACAATTGTGAAGAAAATTGAATTTTTTTCTTCAAAATATTCTGCATAACCCACCATATTTTTATCCAAAAAGCCTTGACTTTCTTGCAATTCCACCAAACATGATAATATGTAGCATCTAGACTATCACATCTATAATTGGGATTCTTTTTAATAAGCATATGCTGACTAGATGGAATGAATTATTTGATAGTTTAGTACTTAACATTAAAATACTTAATCCATGTTAACTGATCTTGTGCATGTTGTCACATTTGTCTGACCTACATTCTTCTATGTAAAGTGTAAAAGAGAGGATGTGGCCACTGTTAGTTATATAACTACAGTTAACAATGCTCTGCAAAACACCCTGAGGCATCCTTCTATTCTACAGCAAGATGGAAAGCCCTCTGTATTTCATTCAAAAAAGCCAACACGCAACTTCATACAGGATAAGTGTCTATTGGACAAATGAAATTTTCTGGTATTTGATTTTTAACTATTTGACCACTGTTTTCCCCTCTGCAAAGCAGATGTCTATAAATGTGAAGTAGCTATTCTCTTAATTTCCTGCTACAAGAAGTAATGGGTATTAAATCAGGAATGTTCAGTTCAAAATTATTTTTATTATTTAAAAAAAACATAACTTTTAAAAGTAGTCTTATTCATTCCCTTCCATGTAGACATAGTTCCATTAATGACTATACATTGTAGATCAGTTCAAACAGTTTTGTAGCATTTTAAAATTTATCGAAAAGACTAACCTGGCCCTCGCAAAGGAAACTAACCCTCTGAAATACAGAGTTAGTTCAAAACATAGTCTGAAGACTATAGTAATGGGCTAATCACGATGGGGCTGTACCAAAGTTATAACCAACATACTTTCCATAGTAAGATCATTTTAGGGCTACCAAATCTGGGCTGTAAAAATCCATATGACTACTTGATGGCCAAAATTAACATTTTTTGTACCTCTGTTATTTATTTATTTATTTAAATTTGATTTATATGCCGCCCTTCTCCGGAGACTCAGGGCGGCTTACAATGCGTTAAGCAATAGCCTTCATACTTTTGTATATTTATACAAAGTCAGCTTATTGCCCCCACAAACTGGGTCCTCAATTTACCTACCTTAGAAAGGATGGAAGGCTGAGTCAACCTTGAGCCTTGGAGAGATTCGAACCAGCAGTAATTGCAGGCAGCTGTGTTAATGACAGGGTGCTCTAGACCACTGTGCTATCAAGGCTCTGTGATTTGATTGTGTCATAATTTTGCAGCCTGGTGGTAGCCTTAGGGTTCTTGTAATATACTAAACTGATACTAAGAACATACAGTTGGTGTGTTCATATGCTGTCCCCAAACAAATAAGCTATATTATGGCCTAATGTGATAGACCAGTTCGTACAGCATTCTAAAATAAGGGCTGGGTTCCCCCAATGTATCACCACCTATCCAATTCTAATAAGGCATCAACAAATGTGTTGCACAAACCTATCAAGCAAGTTCTGTAGCAAATCTGCTGATAAATTATATAGAACTCCACATATCTATTAGCTGAGAAGAGTTTTAAGTCCAAGGTGCTTTTGTAAAGCAAGTTAGACTGCAGAAAAATCAGAATACAGCCCAGATCTAGTAACCCTATGAATATCAGTTGCAGGAAATGGAGGAGACATATTAGAAGCTGGAGTTCAGATACAATATCACTGTTTTATTGAGTACTTTAGAAGTAGACATGTTAAAAAAGCTGGAGATATGTTGGAGGGGCTTCTGAAAAGGCTTCCATCAGAACCATGGATATTGACAAAACAAAAGCTGCATTTACCAAAAAGCAAACTACTGAGATCCCATCACCATATTCTTATCACCCCAATTTAGTTTTGTTGTTTTTCAAGGCAACTGGGCACTCTGCCAAAGCAATGACTGTTTACCTGGTACACTGAATCCCAAACTAGCTAACTTGGGCAATTTATCCATAGTTATCTATTATGCAATCCAGACTACTTGGGCTGAATAAATCATATTCAGATTAGCAAAGTATAAGCATATCAGCCTAACCATATAATAGCATCACGACAATTTTCACTGATCTGAAAAACTAAGCAGAAACACCCCTGGTCAGTATTTGGATGGAGACTGTCTAGGATGTTCAGGATAGTGTAGGATATACTGGGAAGTCTTTAAAATATTCCAGAAAGTGGTCATAGCACATGGTGTTGCAGAAAAAAAATACAAGAACATAGCCATGTAAGTCATCAAGCTCAACTTAAAGGCAACGATTATAAGACATGCCATGTAAGAAAAGCCATTCAGTTACAACCATGCACTATTTTCTCATTCTAAGATTTGCCTATGAGGCCAGTATTTGGGCTTTGCAACTTATCAGCCTCCCCTCAAAATATCAATCTAATTCTTTAAAAACCTGGATAAGTGAGGAAGTTTATCAAAAGCCAATGAGATGGTCACATTCCTTACCCCATTATTAGAGCATTGAGGTTGAGGTCCTTGGAATTATGGTATGTCTGCACCAAAAGTCAAGGCTTGATAAATGCTTGCCAAACACAAACACCTCTCAGGTTGTTCGCCTTCAGACACCTAAGTGTAATAACATAGGCTGGGTACATTCTGGTTTATGCTTTATAGCATAAATTTTCAAAAATTTTTACAACCGGTTCTGTGGGTGTGGCTTGGTGGGCATGGCATAGCTTGGTGGGCGTGGCTTTGTGGGTGTGGCATGGGAAGGTTACTACAAAATCCCCATTTCCTCCCAATCAACTGGGACTTGGGAGGCAGAGAATAGATGGGGGCAGGGCCAGTCAGAGGTGGTACTACTGGTTCTCCAGAACTGGTCAGAACCTGCTGAAACCCACCTCTGCTTTATAGGCTAAGTACATCCTGGTTTGTGCTATATAGCCTTGAGCAAGGCACTGTTCTGGTTTTTGGCTGAAGCAGAAACTACCTGTGTTTACTCCATGTGGTATTTCTTTTGTGCTTTTCATTGCACACTTTTTGCTCTTTTGCTCTTGGTGTGCATCTTTACACTTATGCAAGTTCTCAGAGACTTTCTAGTACATTAACTACATTTGCATGAGATTTCATTACATGTGATTCATCTAGTGGAACAAATTTCAAAGAAATTAGACCAAAGTATAGGACGCACATCAACCTTTAGAAAAGAGTAAAATATAAATGCTTACATGAATATCTCACTAAGTCACTCGCTCACTTAATAATTTTCTTAGGGGAGTTTGAATTGCCTTTTTTATTCACTGAGAGCCATTTCTTTTCTAAAAAAGTTTTTATCATAGTCCTGAGAACTTTCACCACCACCACCACAGTGGTTAAGGAAAGGAACAGAAATTAAACCCACACATGCTTTTTTTTCCCTGCAGCTGCCAAATATTTTCTGAGCCAGAGAGATCCAGTCTCAGCAAGCTGGATATATAAACGTGATGAGGGAGGGAATCTGTGTTGTTTGGCTTGGCTCTCTCTGCTGTAAAGACACCCACATGCAAGCCAAAAGGGGGCTGAACCTTTCCTTTCCTTAAAGAGACAATATCAGGAAAGCTGGAAAAGGGATCCATAAACACATTGCTGGTTTTTTAGATGATGTCAGTTAGTGGAAGATTTACATTTTTCAGCTTTCATTGCACCCCAAACTTCCTCCCAGCTTTGCTTCCAAATATTGGCTTAGTTGTGATTGTCAGCTAGATAATTTTAATTTCTTGAAAGCATCAGTACTGTATCTTAACAATTTAAAGGCTTCATTTCATCCCACAATTTTGTGGCACATTAGTTTGCCTTGTCAAAATCAGGATATCATCTGATCTGCAAGACTCTTTTTCTTTACAGGCCAATATGGCTATCAGTAACATTTGGTTCTATGAGAAAGCAGGAAAAAGCACAGTGAGATAAACACTCCAGTGTTTCCATATCCTTTGACATTTGGCTAGAGAAAATAGGAGTCCAGCACTTCATATCAAATGCTGAGTTTTTCATATGACATTGAATCAAACAAGATCTAGACATCTACCAGGACTCTGTCAATACTTTAAAAAGCCCAGCAAATCCTAGTGTGTGTTTTAAATAGATACTATCTCTGAGAAAGGAATTCTGAGATTGTATGGTTTATGAATTACATTTTATGTAGTGAT